GTTCCTCTCGTGGAGTTATCCCAGGATATCCCGAGATTCCACAGCTCTGTGCTCCATTCATCTCATGGAATAACCCCAATATATCCCGATATTCCCCATTTATATCCTGATATTCCTGATATATATCCTGAAACCCTCCCCCTATAAATAAATAAATAAATATATATACACACATACATATATATCCCTGATATCCCCCAGTTCCACTGTGTCACTGTGTCATTGTCACCATAACTGTCACTGTGTCACTGTGTCACCGTCCCTGTGTCCCCGTGTCACCGTGTCACTGTCACCGTCACCATAACTGTCCCTGTGTCACTGTGTCACCATGTCACTGTCACCGTGTCACCGTCCCTGTGTCACCATGTCACTGTCACCGTCACCATAACTGTCACTGTGTCATCATGACACTGTGTCACCGTCACCATAACAATCACTGTGTCACTGCCCGTGTCACTGTGTCACCGTCACCATAACCGTCATTGTGTCACTGTCACCGTCACCATAACTGTCCCTGTGTCACTGTGTCACCGTGTCACCATGTCACTGTCACCGTGTCACTGTCACCGTCACCATAACTGTCAATGTGTCAATGTGTCACCGTCCCTGATCACCGTGTCACTGTCACCGTCACCATAACTGTCAATGTGTCACTGTGTCACCATGTCACTGTCACCGTGTCACTGTCCCTGTGTCACCATGTCACTGTCACCGTGTCACTGTCCCTGTATCACCGTGTCACTGTCACCGTCACCATAACTGTCAGTGTCACTGTGTCACCATGTCACTGTCACCGTGTCACTGTCACCGTGTCACCGTGTCACTGTCACTGTGTCCCTGTGTCACTGTCCCTGTCACCATAACTGTCCCTGTGTCCCCGTGTCCCCGTCACCATCACCATAACTGTCACTGTCTCCCTGTGTCACTGTCCCTGTGTCCCCGTGTCCCTGTCACCATCACCATAACTGTCACTGTCTCCCTGTGTCACTGTCCCTGTGTCCCCGTGTCCCCGTCACCATCACCATAACTGTCACTCTGTCACTATGTCACTATGTCCCTGTGTCCCCGTCACCATAACTGTCACTACGTCCCTGTGTCCCCGTCACCATCACCATAACTGTCCCCGTGTCCCCGTGTCCCCGTCACTCACCGCAGGGCCCCTTGCTGATGACCTTGATCCTCCTCTGCAGGTTGCACTGTGCCCGCTCCAGCTCGCACTCGTTGCTGTAGGTGGAGTGGTCGGAGCCGCACACCGGGGCCACCACGGGGGCGCAGGGACCCTTCCTGCACACGCACTGGGCCTGGCCCGGCTCCGAGGGACTGCGCTCACACACGGCCCCGAAGCCACACAGCATCCCCCGGCAGCCTGCGGGGACAGGGACACGCCCATGGGGACACCGAACCCACACAGCATCCCCCGGCAGCCTGCGGGGACAGGGACACACACCCATGGGGACACCGAACCCACACAGCATCCCCCGGCAGCCTGCGGGGACAGGGACACGCCCATGGGGACAGGGACACACACCCATGGGGACAGGGACACACACACAGGGAACGGGGACACTCCCATGGGGACAGGGACACACACAGAGGGGACAGGGACACACACCCATGGGGACAGGGACACACACACACAGAGGGGACAGGGACACACACACAGGGGACAGGGACACACACACAGGGAACGGGGACACGCCCATGGGGACACATGAGGGGCACAGGGACACACAGGGGGCGTGGGGACACACAGGGACACACAGGTGACCACAGGGACACGAAGGGGGGCACAGGGACATGCAGAGGGCCATAGGGCTCCAGGTGACCACAGGGACCACACCAGTTGGCACAGGGACACAGAGGTGACCACAGGGACACTGCCCACACAGGTGACCACACAGGTGACCACCCTGTCCCAGGTGACCACAGAGCAGCGCCCCCGGCACTCCCGAAATCTCCATCCAAAGCTTTTCCTGGAATTCTCCACCCCCCCAGAGTCGTTTGTCATTCCCCAGCGAGGGACAGGGAAGCCAAGGCAAGGAAAACTCGGCCTCACCTGCCTGGCACCGGGCCACGCCTTCCCCCACACCTGTTTATTTCTTTCTTTCTCTATTTTATCCCCGTCTATTTATTTCTTTATCATTTCATTTATCGCTGCTCATGCACAGCAGCCACACCTCGGGCCCGGAGGCTCCCGAGGAAATCAGGGATGAGGGAATTTCATTTCCCAGAGCAGCCAGATGGGGCAGGAGCTGGGAATGGCCCAGGTGCAGGTGGGGACAGCCAGGTGACACTCAGAGGTTTGTGTCCCCAGGCACTGCTGGGCAGGGAAAATACCCGGGAGTCAGGGAATTCTGGAATATCCTGAGCTGGAGGGGACTCAGAAGGATCAGAATCCAAAGGGACACCCCAAAAATCCCAAAATCCCACCCCAAAAGTCCCAAAATCCCACCCCAAAAATCCCAAAATCCCACCCCAAAAATCCCAAAAATCCCACCCCAAATCCCTGGGAGCTCCTGGCTGTTCCTTGGGGGATTTTTTCCACCGCCTCACACTTTCCTGGAGGGGGAAATATTTCCCTAAAATCCGATTTTCCCCTTCCATGGGACATTCCTTGAGGTGTTCCCTGTCCCCAGTATCCCCCAGTATCCCCCAGTATCCCCCAGTATCCCCCAGTATCCCCTCCCAGGGCACCCCAGCGTCAGAAACAGAGCCTGACCTAAATAATGAGGGGGAAAAAAAGGCGAAATCAGGCTCCTCATTTACACTTCAATTCCCAGGCGTTTGCCTTGGAGATTCCGGAGCCGCGACAGCAGCGAAGCCAGCCCGAGACAAACCCCGGGAAATCAAAAGGAATCGAAAGAAATCAAAAGGAATCAAAAAGAATCAAAAGGAATCAAAAGGAAAAGGATTCTCCTGCTCTCCCCGCCGCTATCTAAAGGGATTCATCATTTTTATGAAGAGCTCCGAGTCTCTCCCTGCCCTGCTCTTTCCGTCTATTTTGGTTTTTTGGTTTTTTTTTTTTTTTTTAAATGCAGATGAGGTGTAAAAATTCCAGGGTGCAGGGGAGTGGGAATTGCGGGGTTCATCCCGAGGGAAGGGGGTGGAGGTGGGGAGCATCGCCAGGTGAGGGGGAGCTGGGTTAGAGGGGAGGAAAAGGGAGGAAAAAATGGGGAAGGGAAAAAAAGGGGAAGGGAAAAAGGGAGGAAAAACAGGGGGAAGAAAAAAAAAAGGGGAAGGAAAAAAAGGGGAAGGAAAAAAAGGGGAAGGGAAAAAAAGGGGAAGGAAAAAAAGGGGAAGGAAAAAAAGGGGAAGGGAAAAAAAGGGGAAGGGAAAAAAGGGAGGGGGGAAAAAAGAGGAGGGAGAAAAGGGAAGGATAAAAGGGAGAAGGAAAAAAGGTGAAAGAAAAAATGCAAGAAAAAAGGGGAGGAAAAAAGGAGAGAAAGAAAAAGGAGAATAAAAGGAAGGGAAGGGGCAGGGGAAAAAAGGCGGGGGGGGGAAAGGTGAGGAAAAAAGGTGGGAAAAAGGCGGGGGAGGGGGGAAAGGGGCAAAAAAAAAGTGGGAAAAGGCGGGAAAAAAGGTGGGAAAAGCCAAGGTGGGGAGGCTGGGAATTCAAACTGGGAACAGCCCAGGGAAGAGCTGGGATGAGTCCTCCTGGGATGGGGATGGCGAGGGAAATTTTGGGACATCCCTGTGCCCAAGGGGCAGCGGGAATGCCGGGCTGGGCATTAATTAATTCATTAATTCATTAATTCCGCCCGAGCGAGGTGCCCGTTGCCATGGAGAGCGGCTGGTGGCTCCTGTCCAGCCCTGCCCCATCAATAATTCATCATCATCATCATCATCATCATCAGCCCGGGGGAGGATGAGGAGGATGAGGAGGATGAGGAGGAGGAGGAGCCGCCCGAGGCCGCCCCGAGCGCTCCGGATTCTCCCAAAAATCCGCGGCAGGAAAAGCTCGGATGGGGAGAGGGGAGGGGACAGCGCAAAGTGACACCCGGGGGGTTTGGCTTGAGCCCTGCTCCCACGGGGAGCTCCCCAAAATCCTGATTTTCCTCATTTTCACCCGTTCTGTTCCCTGTCCCAAATCCCCAAATCCTGATTTTCCTCATTTTCACCCNAGAATAAAAGGAAGGGAAGGGGCAGGGGAAAAAAGGCGGGGGGGGGAAAGGTGAGGAAAAAAGGTGGGAAAAAGGCGGGGGAGGGGGGAAAGGGGCAAAAAAAAAGTGGGAAAAGGAGGGAAAAAAGGTGGGAAAAGCCAAGGTGGGGAGGCTGGGAATTCAAACTGGGAGCAGCCCAGGGAAGAGCTGGGATGAGTCCTCCTGGGATGGGGATGGCGAGGGAAATTTTGGGGCTTTAATTAATTAATATTCAGGCTGGACATTAAAACCAATCAGGAAAACGCTGCTGGATCCACGGAAAACATTCCAGGCTGGGAATTCAAACTGGGAACAGCCCAGGGAAGAGCTGGGATGAATCCCCCCCCCTATCCCAGAGGATGGCGAGGGAAATTTTGGGACATCCCTGTGCCCAAGGGGCAGCGGGAATGCCGGGCTGGGCATTAATTAATTCATTA